TTCATTGTACTATATATAAGAATATTGTAGTGTTTAATTATTAATAGAGATGTAAACTATTAATAGAGAGGTAAACTTTCAATATCATGAATCTCATCTCTTCCATTCATGGTTAAGTAAGTATAATTCATATATGTATTTCACTTTTCTAATTATATATGTAAATTTTTTATTTTACAATTTAATATAATTTAAATAAATTTTTTTTTTTTTTTGTTTATATAACACCATCACCATTATTGAATGCAATGCAAAGCTTTCTTCTCTCTTCTGCATAAGTTTGATAGCACATAAAGCCCAATAGTAGTAAGCGCAGCAAAACTGGCAAAGTCCTTAATTGGACTCAGCCCATTAGGAAAAGACAAAAAAAGGTAAAAAAGAAGAACAATTCCAAGGAAGAAATAGGGCCTCTTCTTTGACTCGCTTCCACCCTCTTCCTTTAGCTTCTCTTCTTCTCTGTGCAATACTCAGGAGAATTTCTCGAAACAAAGCCTCTCCAGCTCCATATTGGAAACAGAGGAGGAAGACCCACTTCCCCGCTAGTACATCAGGAGCCAGGTAAGAAACGAATATGGGTTTTGTTACTTCATTCATGTTTTACTCTGATGGCTGCTTTTTGGGTTATGTGGATTTGAGCATGCTAGGGGTTTATCTAGATCTCCTGTTTCACCAAGAAACTAGCTTACCCCTTGAAATTATCTCAAGTGTTTTCCTTTTTTCATCGTTTTCCTTTTCTCATCTTTTAGAAGCAACTTGAGGTTTCAAGAGGGTAAGATTGTTACTTGTTAATTGTTTTGCATTTATCGTGTCTCTCAACGAAGAAATTATGGTGGGAAGCAATGGCACACTCAAGATTGTTAGAAATCTTGATTTGTTGAATAGAAAAAGATCAATCTTGCTAAAACCACATATCAAGTCAGTGTTAAGGTGAACCAGTTGTCTTCTAAAAAGTTGGAAAGTTGGGTCCTTGGGATCTTAATGTCTTGATTATGGTTGAGTTAGTATTATGGTTTTGGGGTTTTTTTGGGTTTCACATCCTCAATCCAGGAAAATAAATTTGAACTTTGTTAAGGTGTGCATCATCAAATTTCCATCTGTAGTGAATCCAAGTAGTCCTTTTTCATAGTGATATAAGGGGAATTTAAATTTGTTTTGGTGATTTATGTTAGTCCATGTATGAATTATGAAAGGATTATTTTGTAGGCTATGGTGGTTGTGCCTCACATATAATCTTACCTTTTTGGCTGGTATTAGATTTCCTTGGATACAACTTTTCAAAATCTGGGTGTTCTCTCTCTATGATTACAAAAGCTTGCGATCATTGTAGTCAGTGATTAGATCAAACAATTGGGCGGAGATGCATTCCAATATTCGTGAGAATGGTGCAATGCTTTTCCATGTGTCTAGATGTGTAACAAGCTCATGCTTCATGCACATGGTGAATACACTAGTTACTTTGATGGGTATCAAGATTGCAAATTTTCCAAATTAAGAGAGTCAATTCCTGAAGGATATGTCCCATTTGGAGCATAACTATTTGCAGAAGCTTATGTGCATATGTATTGTATCTGTTCAAGTAAAACAGAATCAGTACTAAAAGAAGTAAATAGCATCTGATTATTGCATATTAGAAAAAGTTATGTTAAAGTGGTATCTGTTCTCTTGATAATGCAAATAGTTAGACACGAGGAGAACTGTTTGTAAGTTTGGGCATGTATGTGCCAAGGAACCATATTATTATTGTCTGCAATATATTATTGTTGTGAATGGTTGACAACATAAAAATAATTGCTGTTGTATATCTATTTAGAAGGATAGCCTACTGTCAGTTTTATTGTTGCTTCTGAGAAACTGAATGCATTTATGAACCATAGTCAAGTTAAATATATTTTTCTATCTGAATTCAGCATGGATTTGCTTGGCATTTGATTTTAATTATATTCTGTCTTTTTTTTCTTTCCTGGTAGTAGTTTATGAGAACAATATAATAATGCTAAAATAAAAAAGAAAGCACACTCTTGTGTTTTATTTCTTTTTTTCACTACTAATCGCATTGCATTTGATCATATAAACATTTTAGTTATGATATTGAAATCTTTTGAGCCTGTTGACTAATGAGTAATTACTAACATATAGGAGTATCAGACTGTCTGCAACTAATGGTGAAATCAAAGCAAACACAGTTAGCTGCAAAGCCTGCAAGCAAGAAAAATACTAAAAGTGGTATCAGGAACACATCAACTGCCAATATTGAGGTTGACCTGCAGGGAGAAGACAGTTGGATTATAGTTAAAAAGCAGAGAGTCACAATTCTGGTGCCTCCTTTACCTGTGGCCAAGACATCCAAAGCCACAAACCTAGGACCAAGTCAGTTGCAAGCCATGCCAAAGGAAACAGTGGAGAACCAATCAAAGCCCGCTGATCAGACATGTCCCAACTTGCCCTCAGTCAATGAACGAGAAGAGTTTCCTTCATCAGCCAGTAAAAAGGTTATTGAATCTGCAAGGAGGTCTCCTGTTCAACCCTTTTCAAAAATAGCCAAGTCACAGAGACTAGATTGTAGAACAGGGTCACAGTACCCAAATCAAGTATGTACTTTAAAATCTCAGAAGATACATGGTGTGTCTGAAACCTCAAAAACTATTGAGAAGCTTAGATTACTCCATGGCCCCAGAGGACCCATTGCTGGCAACATGTTACTGAATTGGAAGCTAAGGGTGTCAAATCTGGAGAGGAAGCTTCAACAAGTTGGTGGGTTGAGCAGGTGGTTGACGTCATTAGGACTAGGGCAGTTTGTGAGGATTTTTCAGGCCCAAAATGTCAATAAGTTTCAGTTGGTTAATTTAACAATGAAAAAACTTAAGGAGATGGGTGCAGATGCAGTTGGTCCCAGGAGAAAGTTGATACATGCCATTGACTGTGTTTGTCAGCTATTTTGAGGCTTTTTGAGTGTCCTTTTCTATCTAGGAGCCATTGTGAATTGATCAGATGGGAGAAATTTAAGAAAATGGAGCAGAGTTACCTTTTTTGTGGATGTTCAAGCTATAAAACACCAGAAACTGGACCTTGAATGATAGTAAGCAGGCATGTAGAGTGACAGAATAGCATGCTTGGCTGGACTCAATACTAAGAACTAAGAAGGTACAAAATCATATGACTGTCTTCTCTGGCTGTACTGTACTTCTGTTCCAATATTTTATCAGTTACAAATTTCAATCAGATGTGCCATTCCCAGATAAGCAGCTTGACAACAGGTGGATGTGTGCCATGTATAGGCATGATTGTGTGAAGTAGGTTTTTTGTCTTGCTGTTTCTTCCTCTGCTTATCTTCTTTGTGCTTGCTCACTGGAACTGACTTCAGGCTCTTTCAGTTGCTTCCTAATATCAGCCAGTGAGCAAATGCATCCAGGGAAGGATATTCCAGACTTTGTACATGTGTACAATCTAGTGACCCTCTGTGTAGAATTATGGACTACATTGTATCTCCTTTCATTTTCTCTTGATAATGAACTGCAATTGTGCTACTGACTTCTTAACTTTGAAATTAACCAACTCTTAGAACAAGTTGCTGTGAAAATGGGGAGTTCTTTTGACCATCTTCCACTTCTCCCTCTCCATCGTTGTGCAGGAGCAAACTTCGGTCCCTGGCAGCTTATGCCAACATTCTCTAGTTGGAATCAAAGACGAGTGGGACTTGGGAAGAGGAATGCCATTTTGAATTCCGTTTCTCACTCCATGCTCTTGTAACTCAAACTGTTGTCCCAAAACAAAAGGTAAAAAGAAGTATGAATACATTTTGCATGCACCATAGATTATAATCAAATCAAAAAACTGTTGTGCATTGAGGATCACATCAAACCGTACAATATAAATTAAGGATGTTAGGGGATTCTCTCATAATTTTTGTTTTATAATTTAATACAATTTTGACTACATAATAAAAAATTATAATCAAATTATGAGAAATGTTTGATATAATGGTTTAAAACTAATGGTTAGAAGTGGACTCCCCACGTGGCCCAGCAGATGGGCCACACTATGCCAAGAGTAGCAAGTGGAGCTCTCTTGATTTCAACTCTTGATGTTGATTTAAAAGTAGATATTAACTCTTAACAAATATTTTCCTTGTCAAAAAAAAAAAAAAAAGATACAAACTATGATAGAGGGTAGTTGTAGTAGATAGCAAGTAAAAGATGTTGATTTCAAGAACTATTTGGTTATATGGTATTTAGCTTAATGACAAATGACAAATAAGGATAAATTTAAAAAGTAATTAATTCTTTTTTTTTTTTTATTCTTAACACTAAAAGAATTTTTTTTTTGTTATACTAAAAGAATTATATTGTTGTTGTTGTTGTTGTTGTTATTTTTGGTAAAAATTAATATTAAAATTTTAAATATAAGGCAAAAATTACAAACTTCTCTATAAATTAATTTATTATAATGGCTTAGAAAAATTTTTATTAAACAAAAAATTAGTCACAAATTAAATAAGAAAAAATAGAAATAAACAAGTTAATATTAAAATTGAACATAAAAGAAAAGTTAATGTAAAAATATAAAACACCACAATTAGTAATGTTTATGCATAATATATCTAATTATTAAAGTTTTTTCTTTTATCATTTAACTAATAAAACTATCTCCTTTCGTTCAGTGGTAATTTCCTTCCACTAAAAATAATAAATTTTGAATTTAAGTCATATAGCATATGAGGAGATTGCGATAAGGGATGACACGCGAGTGAAATAGGATAAAGGATGAGAGAGATATACCTCTCGTTGTGCAATCAACATAAAATATATATATATATATCTGTTTACACCCATTTTTGCAAAATAGTATAATGATGCCACGTGTCATCCATGTTGACAGATATTTCATTAGTTGAAAGTTGTTGGAGTAAATCTCTCTGGATAAGGTTGAGTGGTTATTTCCACAACTGCAGCAAAGTTGTTGGTTTGTTGCGAACTTCCAGGAGAATAATTGGCAGAATCAACAGAATAATCAATTTGTTTCAGATTTCATGCTGCCGTTGATTGTCAAGTTGCTGCCACAGATTTCCAAGCATGCTACCAAGGGTGTTTACTGCTATAAAGATGCAAAGAAGAAACGAAGCGAAGAAGACCAGCCTCTCACACAACTAGCCCAGCGCTATCTACATTTCAGTTTTACAAGCAATGTCTTAGTTTAAATCCAGTTTTCTTAAACAGCTTTCCTAATTTAGTCTTTAGCTCTACGCTGCCATTAGTTTTAATTCTGATTTTTGTTATTTCGTTGTGAACATCTTCACCCGATATATTTAGTTTCTTTTGCAATTCAATTTACTGCACTTTACCCCAAATTCATCTTTCTAGTTTCTTTTAAGTTTAGTTTTATGCTTCAGCTTCTATTTCGTTTTCTACATTTTCATACTTTCGCGGCAGCATAACGCTTTCTTTCTGCAATTTAGTTTTCCTGCCATGCACTCTTTTTCTTCTCCTTTCCTTTATTTTCCTCTTTTATTTTAATCAACAAACTAACATTTCGGCCCTAGTTGTGGGAAGTCCCTGATGTTATTCCAGGGCAATTATTTATGGACCTTTATGTAGGAATGCACCCCCATTTCTGCGACAATCGTCTGACCAGGGCGCATCTCATAATTTATTTAACCGGTGCTCTTCCATCGACTCGCAGCCGAGTTCCACGCTTGGAAGTAGTGAGGGTCACCGGGAATCCCTTTTTCTCATTTTGAGCAAAGTGAGTGGCACGCCTTCGCAGTCTTATCTGCCACGCGGCCAGAAAGGGAGATTTTGGAGACAACAATCTCTTTTTGGCACGCCCAGTGGGACCCACTGTGGGCTTTCACAAGTTTGTTGATCATATTCTCTATTACTAGATTGTGCCACCATGGCAAGTCCTTATTTTGATGATTGCCAGAAGCTTTTCATCACTCCGCCACAAGCTTCCTCTTATGTCAATCCACTTTATGATGAGAAGGCAACAGCTGATAGTGAGTCTTTCAAATCACTTTTTGAAAGGATAGCTGATTTTGCTGAGGAATCTACAAGGCTTCATGAGGAACGCCTGAAGAGGTTGGAGGAAAATTTGAAAGTATGCAAATCAAATCTTCCAGAACTTAAAACCCCTCAACCCAAAAGTGAGGTTTTAATGGAGGATTCAAAGAAGTGCCATGCAGCCGCGTCTCCAAGAACTTTGAAGCAGTTTTGCAAATCGCAAAACGTGACAGAGATGCCAATTGTAAATGAAGGTCAGACGACACTAAGGTCAGAGAGTAACCCCATGATCACAGTTGGGGGGCGTGAATCACAATTGCAGCGTGCTACCCAAAGTCAACAATGCCATGCAGCTTTGGAGGCGACTTTAACAAGTATGCCTCCAAGTCATTCTAAGTCTGCAAAGACTAATACTAGCAATAGTCCTCTTACTCCTAAGAGGCATAAACCAACTCAGGTGCAGACATGTCAGCCATCGATCAATGAGGGTCCATCTGATGGCCGACAAAAAGTTGATGCTGCTACACAAAAGCCAACACTTTGGCCAGCATCAAGACATAAATCTGATAAGGTATCCACCTCATCTATTTCTACTTCTTTTGAGACTAATGAGCATATTTCTTCAGCCTTGCTTAAGAAGTGTTCGCAGCGACCATGCTTTCTTAATGGTCAAAGCCCTTCCAAGTTCAATTATGGACAATGGCTGAAGGTGAAATATCCTTTTAAAGTCGTTAGTCTGAAGAGGGGAGTCATTTCCAATCTCGGGGGGCAACCTAGTCAGATTGAACAACAAAGGTTGCAAGACCTGATTGCCAATGAAGTTCACAAAGCTATAGAAAAAGAGGTAGCAAGGTTTATGCCGTTGCAGCCTTATGCCAAGTCAAGCATCCAATTAATGTCGCTACAACAAAAGCATGTGTGCAAGCCTAGTCCACCTCAGCAACTTGCAGACTCATTGCCAAAGGCCACTCAGGTGGCATGCAGGCCACCATGTTGTCTAACATGCCGTAGGCCATATTCAAAAAATAATGATTCTTTCCAAAGTGGCTTTCACAAGAAATTCTCAAATTTTCCTTGCA